CGGGCCCCCGCCCCCGCCCCGCGCTCCGGCCGGCGCTGCCCATTGGCCACTGCGCCAAGGGTCCGCGTCCGTCTCGGCCAATCAGCGCCCTGCGGTGCGGTTTGGAAACTTTTTTCCCAGGGCCCGGGCGCGGCTCGGCCACGCGGCGGCTGTGGGCGGGAGGTGGTTGGGCGGCTCGGCTGCTGGGCAGGACCCTTCAGATTCTGGGCGGCTGCAGGCTGCTCCTTGCACACCCAGGGGACGGGCTTTCCTTGACACCAGTTGCATTTTCCCATTGTTGCGCTTTTCCCAAAATTGGCGGAAAGGCTAAAGATCTAGACCTATCCAGGCTAAGTAATGCTCCGTGCCCTTTCATAGTCCACTCTACTCAGCAATAACATCTTCAGCGGCATTATTTTCTTCTGCAAAGGCAGCACAATTTAGTGCACAGGAATTTGGGCTGGAGCTGGCAGTAAATCCTAGCTATGTTATCGTGGGCAAGTTAATTCCATTCTCTGTAACTTAATTGCCTCATCTGTAAATGGTGTTCATGATAGGATTCTACCTCATAGCATTGTGCAAAGGCAATCGGTATGTTTTAGTAGTAGTAGTAGTAGTAGTAGTAGTAGTAGTAGTAGTAACACATGTCACGCACAGTGCTGACTTCTCGACATGAATTTTCTCATTTAATCTTAGCAATTCTCACTTCCCACCAATAGTTTATGGAGCTCTCAGGTTGATAACATAATAAGTGGTAGATAACATTTCCATCTTCAAGTGGCTTATACTATCAAGACAGTAAACCAACAAACAGATAAAGTAAAATATTATGGATGCTAATAAGTGCCCCAATAGAGCTGGATCATGTGATAGGATAGGGTCTGAAAACTGTCATCCCCATAGAAAGGTCAGGGAAAGCTGTTCTATGGAGGTGACAGGCACTCTGGGATTGGGATAATGGTAACTCCAGGAAAACACTTTTAATGTCCTCGTTTTAAAGACAAAAACACAAAGGTGTGGGAAATTAAATACATTGTTCAAGGTGTCACAATTAGTAAC